TTTCTGGGGGAATCCTCTAGGCTGCCAGATTTTTTGTGGGGTTCAGGCAAGTTTCTCACATGTGCCTTTTTAGCAAGGGGCCTCTGGCTACCCCATGAACCCCAAAAGAAGACTCCTTGATTTTAAAAGTTGGTCTCCACCAGCTGTCTGTGGTTTAGATACTCAAGTTCAACTGTGAAAGCCCTGTTTTGTTTTGATTTTTGCTTGGGGGAGAGAAAGCCACCCTTCTGTTTGTTCAACTGGTCCTAAAAGGATAAATCAATATTTATGACCCAATGCTCTAGATATTAGGTCAAGTGATTTTTGAAATGTTTTTGCTCATAATTCATCCAAGTGCTGGATCCCACAAAACAAAATAATTTTTTTATGGTTGTACTCTTCGTGATGATTTTATTTAAATTCCTCATTGATCACTGTTTATAAGGCAATTTGGAATAACCATCTAAAAACAATATACAACTAAAAACGGAGCTAAAAATCTATATACGATTCCTAGAAAGGAATAAGGCAATCTAGAAGGGAGTGAGGGAGGAAGTTTCCAATATTTCTATTTTTCTTTTGAGGCAGAAAGGAGATTGTCACTAGGCAATGTGAAAGCACAGTTGGTATCCTTTGGGAACCAAACAGAAACGTAGCAGTTGAAAGTTGAGAAATTTCACGGGGATCTTTCAGGAGACTCATTTCCAATTTTTAGGAGGAGGTCAACTCTTCACCCCAAGACCGAAGTACAACAAATTAAGCCCCCTGCCTATGGAGTCGCTTTGGAAGGACTGGAATCCTAGCCAGGACTTCACGGGTTAAAAAGCAGATGTCACATCAGCCGTTCAAAACTCCTCCTCTCCCAGTAAGGTGAAGACATTTGAAAATCACCCCACTGCAAACTCCTCCCCTTGCTGGAAACCTCACATTGAAATGCTGCAAATGACTAGGGCTCCGCGTGCAGTCGCGGGAAGCCTGAGTTTCCAGCGCGGACACTACGGGGTCATGACGTGGCTCGGGAAGTTGCCGGCAGAGGCTGCCACTATGAGGTCCGGGGGCTGGAGGCTGCGCTGGACTGTCACCCTGCTCCTCGCCGCGGTGGGGGCTGCAGGTAAGGCTTGCTCCAGGCGCCCGCGCGCGCCCCTTGGGAATTTAGATTGCCCGGCGGTGGGTGAGGAAAGAGAAAATTAACCACTCCATCTTTGGGAGACTTGTAGGAAAATGGCACGAGGTCTTTCCCAAACAGCTAGAGGGGGCGTGAGGGTTGGAAAGAGTAGGAAACGGGGCGCGGCTGTCGCCCCAAGTCCCTGCAGGTTAAGGGACCCCCTTATTTTTCCTCAGAGCGGGGTACCGGGACCTCCAGTCCTAAAAAGAGGGACCGCCCCCAAATCTGTCATTCTACTGGCAAGAGCGACTCGAGGCCCGGTTTCCCAGCTTGGGGGGTGAGTCCCCACGGGCAGGCGTTACCGCGGCGCCCAGATCCACTTTGTGCACCTCGGGGGGGCGCCGCTGCCTCCCCCGGGGCCGGACGCAGCGTCGCGTGTGGCTCGCGGGCGCCGCGCCTGGGACCACCTCCTCCCGCCACGCCCCCGCCCTGAGGCCACGCCCCCAGCTCCCATTGGGCGCCGTCCGAGCAGGCGAGTCTCGGGCCACTCCCCTCGTCCAATGGCAGGCGGCAGAAGCGGAGGCGCGCGGGGCGAGGCGGGGCCTGCGCCGGGGGGGCGGGGCCTTCGCGTAAGTCGCGGCGCTCAGCGATCCCGGCTAGGCGGCCTCCTGGGAGCTCTGGCGCCTCTCGGGGCTTCCTGTCACAAAGGCGGCGACATCTCCGGACCCTGCGTCAGCTGCCACGAGCGCAGACGAGGCACCCACCTGGTGCCCGGGTACCTCGGCAAAGGCCCCGGTTTCCGCCGCGCTCTGTGGACAGACCTTTGTCCCCCTGGTCCTCGGGGCCGCCCCGCGCGCCGCCCGCCCGGGTCAAGTTCACCGCGTTCCCAGGCCATCCTCAGGGCCTCGGTGCCTCCCGAGGCTGGAACTCGCTTTAGCATCTCTCCTGATCCCTCCTGGGTCGAGACCCTCAGCCAGGGCGGGGCAGGGACCCAGAGACAGCGACCCGGGAGGGACGGGCCCCTCAAAGTGTCCTCGTTAGTTCAAAGACTCTAAATGGGTCCGGTCGCGCTGCCCACGTGGCGAGTTTTCGTTCGGGGAGGTGGGTTCGGCTTTAGACCGGCAAGACGCCAGTTGGTGCATGATCAGTAGAAAGCTACTGCTTTCTTAGATGGCTTTAAATTAGCTGCGGAAAGGCAGCCAGCCCTGCCCAGCACAGGAGCTAAAAGGCCCCGTTAGTCCTCAGAACCAGCTCAGCCCTTAAAAGGACTGGGATTGCCTGGTGCACAGAATCGCAGGAAGTTTTTGTTTTCGTTTTTTTAAATTTATTTATTGGCAGGATGTTGGTTTTGAGTGGAGGCAGAACTTTGAACTCTCTCGGAATCTGTAACTTGTCAGTTTCCTCTGGGAGGCCAGGAAGGGAGGGTGCAGAGAAATAGCACGATGGTTACTGCAGTAATGCGGTCGCCCAGTTGTGTAAGGCCCAGAGAGCGAGGCTTGGTCGAGAAGTACTACATTCACTCGAATTTCACTCACTCACCAACTCCTTCCCTAATAAGAGAAGGTGTTGCAAGTGAAATCTTGAACAAGACCTTGTCAGTTTGGTTTCTTCTCACTCAATGGCTGGGAAGCTCACGTTTTCTTCTGTTCGGACTTCTGAGAGCTCCTTGACGGATGTTTATAGCAGCTCTAGCTGTACCAGCTTGCTTTGGAGCTGGCTTCAAGCCATTTTTTCTGGGGGGAATTTCTTGTCTGTTTCCTCTAGGAAGTCCTGGTTGGAATCCGAAACTGCACACGCCCTTACCCCCAGCCAGATAAAAATCAGTAAACAGTGGTATGTGGATTGTCAAACGGGGCTCACCCACATTTAGAAAAAGTAGATCAGCTGGGTTTGGAGTTGTGTCTGCTTTAGCAACAAGTCCCAGGGCATTCATTTTTCATTTCCTGACATACCTTTCTTCCAAGGGACACTGGGGGGAAAAAGATAGCAAGAGCTTTGTTGAGACCAAAAACCTGTAAGGTTATGTTCTTCATTCCTGCTCTGATCTGTAGAATTCTTCCATTGATAGGATCCAATTCTAGATGCTTCTCTTGCTCTGTGCTTTGCTGTCCCCTTTGCATTCCACATCAAGTGCATTAGTAGCATCTACACTCTGCCCTGCTGTCAAGGAAATGGCCTTTTGTTGCTATGGCATCTTGCTACTCCTCCCAAAGGGAACAGGCAACATAATCTACCACTGAGTTCACCCTGGCGAAACTACACACCCAGTTTGGAAAGGAGCAATGATCCATTGATTTCTCATTCATTTTCAGCTGAGTCTATTTCCTCCAGCCAGAGGATTTTTCTTTTTTTAAGGAAATGATTCTAGCTACGATGTTGATTTCCTGATGTAGCAACTCCCTTCAGCAGCATGGGAAGGAAAACATCGAAAGCATCTACCACCTCATTTGTGTGTTGGGGAAAAAGCAGAAATGTGTGTTCTCCTTTTCTGTTTCGATAACCTTGTTCCTGACTTGTCACTCGTGACACAAGAGAGATCGGAGGGCTTGGAGCTGATAGCGTTTTTTGTTTGTTTGTTTGTTTTGTTTTGTTTTTTGAGAGGGACGCGATGTGTATGTAATTTGGGGCAACCGCAGCACAAGGGGACATGAGGATGGACATGAGGATCGCTGCTCTGAATTGCTCTGGCTGAAATGCAAATGATCTAAAAACCCAAGCTTTGCTCAAAAGAACAAGAAAAATGTGTGGTTTCTTTGGGCTGTGGTGTTTGCAAGAGGACTAGTTCCAACCCCTTGCTCAGGCTGTGCTGTGGGGACACCCCCCTCCCCGCCATGTGCTGTCACTTGGCACACTTTGTCCCCACTTGCCCAGCTGCGGGGGCTTATTTTGCAGGTGAATGCTGTCTGGCTACACTTGTAGCAATACAATCTACTTTTTAAATATTGTCTGGAGGGTTGGTCGGCTGTGAGATCGCCTGTCCTGACAGAAATAGGTAATGGTGGGGTCTTCCTGTTGGTGCGGTCTCGAACACATTTCTGTGGATTCCCTGAGAGGCAGTGTGGAAAGGTGGCTTTAAGTGGCTCTCCGAGTCATTTAACTAGAATGACTTGGGCGAACTGACTTAAAATCCTTCTAGGCCTCACTTTCTTGATCTGTAAAATGGGGCAAAATAGCATTCTCCACTTCCTGGAGAGTGTTGTGAGAATTAAAGAAGAGAACCCAAAAAAGAGGCCCTGCCCAGATCCTCGTGTAATAAATAAACATCAGCTTACAAACAGACACACAGATGACATGTCCATTCAGTGGAATACCACTCGGCAATAAGAAGGGACAAACAGTAGATACACGTGTTGCTGCCTCTGGCTGGCACATGCCTGCGGAATTATAGCCAGGGAAAGATTGAGGGCTGGGGAGGGGTTTTTTAATTCTTTGTCCCTGTTTAAGGGGTCTTTCAGCTGTAATGAACATTTCTAGACTTTCCAATGGCGAATTTTGTTGGTAAGACAGGCCCTTGTGCAAACAAAGCCTGGGAGACAAGAGCAATGGATTAGTGGTCACCAAAACTGTGGTCACCCAGTGGGGTGATAGAAGCTCCTCCCTCGAGATGTTCATTGCCAGCACCACCGCTTGCTGGACCTCCCTTTTATTTATTCTGAGTCGCCTAGAATCCCAATTGCTTTGTATCCGCCCCCTGTGTCAACAGGCGAGAAGCGAGTCATGTCCTCCTTTGAGCAAGATCCCAATTCAGCGATGAGTCAGTGGGGTGTGGGGGACATTGTGGGAGCACCTCCGAGGGGGACATCCCGTGCAGATCAGTAGCTGGGCAATAGAACCACCAGGGGCTGTGACCACAGCACATTCCAAAGCTCAAGTCAGTCGCTTCTCTCTTCCCTTTCTATTTTTGACCCATTCTCCTTGTCACCTGGGTTCCCAACTCTGTGGCCACCTCTGGGACATGGCCTCCTTGTAATTCACAGTTACCGAGTTGTTGATTGTTCTAAATCTTCTCTATATTTCTCCGTCTTTCCCATCTCCATCCTTGTTTGCCCCTCCACCCCGCCCCCCGCCCCATGCCTTTCCTAGCGGGTTCCTACCCTCTGGCAGGGTCATGGGGCACTGGACTTGGAAGCCCTAAACTAAACTTTCTTTTCTTTTTTTTTCCATTTATTTATTTTTTAGAGATGGAATCTCAATGCGTCTCCCAGGTGCAGTGGTAGGATTAGAGCTCAAACTCCTGGGCTCAAGCGATCCTCATGCCTGAGCCTCCCGAGTAGCTGGGACTACAGGCGCGGTGCCACCACACCCGGCTCATTTTTCTGTTTTTTGTAGACACAGGATCTCACTTTTGCTCAGGGTGGTCTTGAACTCCTGACCTTAAGCGATCCTCCCACCTCAGCCTCCCAAAGTGCTCAGATTACAGGCGTGAGCCACCGCGCTCTGCCCCTATTCTATATCCTAACCAGGAGTAGTTACATGGATGTCGACATTTACCAAAACTTACCTAACTGTTCACTTTGTATCTGTTCATTTTATAGTATGTCAGTTACATCCCAATTTAAAAAGAAAAGAGGTGGGAGGATCGCCAGAGGCCAGGAGTCTGAGACCAGCCTGGGCAACACAGTGAGACCCCATCTCTCCAAAAAAATTTTATTTTAAAAATTGGCTGGGTGGGGTGGCCCACGCCTGCCTGTAATCGGGAGGCTGAGGAGGGAAGATCGCTTGAGCCCAAGAGTTCGAGGTTATAGTGAGCTACTGCTCTGTAACCCAGGTGACAGAGACAAAACAAAACAAAACAAAAAAGGATATAGAATAGTTCTAACCCCCTAGAAAGTTTCTTCGTGCCCCTTTGCTGTTTAATCACACCCCCCCAACACACATACACCAGGGACAACTAGTCTGATTTCTGTTATTTTACATTAGTTTTGCCTGTACTAGAACGTCACATAAATGCCACCGTAGTATGCACAAAATCCTATATATGTGACAATAGAAGCCAGAAACAGTGTGTTTCAGAGATTTGCCTGTGGCAGTGTGTATGAACTGCTTGTCCCTTCTCATTGCTGAGTAGCATTCCATCATGGATATGTCACCCGTGTGCCCGCTTGCAAGCTGATATTTATTTATTATGTCAGCGTCTGGGCTATTCTTTAATTCTCACAACACTCTCTAGGAAGTAGAGACTGCTATTCTGCCTCAGTTTACAGATCAGGAAAATGGGCTCCAGAAGAATTAAATCAGTTGCCCATGTCATTCTAGTTAAATGGCGTGGAAAGCCATTGAAAGCCAGGACTGTCTGTCTAACCCCTTTTCCACACTGCCGCTCAGGGAGTCTACACGGACATGCTTTGTGAACCATCAAAGCAGAAACGGATGAAGGGCCAGACCTTTCCTCCGTGGATCCCTGTAGCAGAAATGTCAAGTCCAAGGGCTCCCTCTGGCCACGCATGTTTGAAAGGTCAGATAAATACGTGGATACTCTTAAGTACAGTGTCGAAAGCATAAAAACACACACGGACACATACATACATGTATATATAAGCAAATAAATAAACAGACAATCTTGGCCCAGCACAGTACTCGTGACTATAATCCTAGCACTCTGGGAGGCTGAGGTGGGAGAATTGCTTGGGGCCAGGAGTTCAAGACCAGCCTGAGCAAGAGTGAGACCCTATCTCTACAAAAAGTAGAAAAATTAGCCGGGCGTGCTGGTGAGCACCGGTAGTCCCAGCCACTCAGGAGGCTGAGGCAGGAGGATCGCTTGAGCCCAGGAGTCTGAGGTTGCTGTGAGGTAGGATGACGCCATGGCACTCTAGCCCTGGCAACAGAGCAAACCCCTGTCCAAAAGCTAACAAACAAAATTATTTAAAATGCAATACAGTCAATAGCATTTTGATCTCTTTTCCAAGATGTGAAAATCATATATTTTAGGAAATTTTCCAAACACTTACTTTGTTCTCATTTTTACCTAATAATCCAAGTCTTTGTTTTCCTAGGAAAAGTTTTCTCTTATTATATCTTTTGTTAATGTTTCTGTCCCATTTCTTTTCATTTGATATATTCAGATATACAGTTATCTTCACTGCTGGATCTACGTTCCCTAGCTTCTATATTTATAATTTCTTACAATTCTTTATCTCTTTATGTTTCCTTTCTACCTACTGGAGAAAACTCCTCAAGTTTCCTTCCACCTTAATGATTTTGCTGTGTCTGTCTTCCTCATGACTGTTTTTAGTACATGTTTTTAATACACCAACTACTTTTCATTTCTCCATTAATGTACACGGAAATTCTAATATTTTGTTCCCCAGCGGGGCCAGACTTTGGAACGAACATCATTATCGTGTCAAGGACTTTGTTGCTAGTTCCCTCTTTTGGGTTTATTCTTTGCACCCTCCACTGTACTTTAGGGTTCATGAATATTCATTTGTCGTGTGTGCTTAATTTCCTGGGATTCCGGCTGTTCCTGATAGAATTACATTTCCAGTTCATTCTTCAGTGGACAGGAGATCGACACCGGAGGCCTGGCTGGTGTCTGATTCTGCCACTGAGGAGTCCCCTTCCCTTTATTCTCTCTCAGTGGAAGACACATGTGAGAGGAACGAGTTCCGGTGTCGAGACGGGAAATGCATCTCCTACAAGTGGGTTTGTGACGGCAGCGCCGAGTGCCCGGATGGCTCCGATGAGTTCCAAGAGACCTGCAGTGAGTCCCCTTTGGGCACAAAGCACCTCCTAACCTTATTATTATTATTATTTCAATCCTAACCCTTTTTGTTGATGGCGGCTAAAATGAATTGGGATGTAGGAAGAGGAGACATGATTGGAACTTTCCTTAAAGCCATTAAATGGCCCTTGTTTTTCAATTGAGGTGAAGTTCACCTCATATGAAATCAACCAGCGCAGTGGCATTAATGCATTTACTCGCAATGCTGTGCGGCCACCACCTCTATCTTGTTCCAAAACCTTTGCATCACCTGACATGTCATTTTTAACACACTTCATTAGTTTCCTTTCTTTTGACCCGTAAAGGGTGGTGTTGGCTAGGCGTGGTGGCTCAGGTCTGTAATCCGAGCCACTCGGGAGGCTGAGGAGGGAGGATTGCCTGAGCCCAGAAGTTTGAGACCAGCCTGGGCAACATCGCAAGACCCCTCCTCTTTAAAAAAATACATAATAATAATTTTCTATTTTAAAGGGTAGGATTGAGACTCTCTTACATGTTCTGGAGTTTTCCTTGGCAATGATGGGACTAGAGAGACTGACTGGTCTTCCTTTTGAGTGAAGACTAAATCCTTTTTCTCCATAGTGTCGGTCACCTGCAAATCGGTGGACTTCAGCTGCGGAGGCCGTGTCAACCGCTGCATCCCTCAGTTCTGGAGGTGCGATGGCCAAGTGGACTGTGAGAACGGCTCGGACGAGCAAGGCTGTCGTGAGTATTGCCTGGCAGCCGCACACCCCAGGGCCGTATCCGTGCGGCCGGGCCGGCCTGTTCCCGTGAGCCCGCCGAGGCTTTGGGGGGTGGTCAGAGGAGCAGCGTGCTGGCCACTGCTCAGGAGACGGCCTCCAGCTCTTGGCGGCTTGGTACGAGCACCAAGATGACGCTCAAAGGAAATGCTCCTTGGAGCATCCCAGATGTTCGGATTTGGGATGTTCAACCAGTGAGGATAACGCAAATATTCCCAAATCCCGAACGCTGCTGGTCCCAGCATGTCGTATGGAGGATGCTCAACCCACAAGAACGACAGCAATGCTGTAGGCGGCGCTACCGTCTCGAGGGACCCAGTTTCAGGGCCTTCCACCTAGTAATCGGCCGGTCCTCGCAGCCACGCCAGGACGCGTGTACAGATGAGGAACCCGGGGCGCAGAGAGGACAGCGGCTCGGGGGCCAGGCCCTGCAGGCGTCTGCTAAACTGGGGTCCGGCCTCTCTGGGCATGGTGTCCCTGCGTGCAGAATGGGCTGGAGTCCGGGGGCAGGAGGAGATCCAAGGTGACAGGGTGGTCTCTTCCCGTCTGTCCCCGCAGCCCCCAGGACGTGCTCCCAGGACGAGTTCCGCTGTCGCGACGGCAAGTGCATCGCCCAGCAGTTCGTCTGCGACTCGGACCGGGACTGCCTGGACGGCTCAGACGAGGCCTCGTGCCCGGTGGCCACCTGCGGCCCCGCCAGCTTCTGGTGCAACGATTCCACCTGCATCCCTGAGCTGTGGGCCTGCGACGGTGACCCCGACTGCAAGGACGGCTCCGATGAGTGGCCGCAGCACTGCGGGGGCCGCGACACACATGCCCCGCAAGGCGACAACGGCCCCTGCTCTGCCCACGAGTTCCACTGTCGCAGCGGCGAGTGCGTCCACAACAGCTGGCGCTGTGACGGCGGCCCCGACTGCAAGGACAAGTCCGACGAGGAGGACTGCGGTACGGCAGGGAGTGGGGTCCCCTCATCTGTCCCCAGATTCCCCCAGGTGTGAGACAGGCGGCAACTTTAGATGGTTAAACAATTTCAAATCACTTGCCAAGAAAGTTGGTCCCATATCATGTTTGTTTCAATCTTTCTGATCACACTGAGGAGAATGCAAGTCCCCAAAGCACATTTTAATGCCCAGTTAGTCTCTTTTTGATAATGGAAAGGAGCTATGAACTGCAGTATTTTCTTTTTGTTTTCTGAGACTGGGGTCTTGCTATGTTGCCCAGCCTGGTCTTGAACTCCTAGGCTCAAACGATCCTCCCACTTCAGCTTCCCAAGTGGCTGGGACTACAGGTGTGAGCCACAACACCTGGCTAGCCTACAGTATTATGGGCCCAGAAAGGACGCTGAGCCTGCCTGGTGACGTACAAGCTCCATGACCCTTGGCTAGGGACATGACCTCATGAGTGTGTCCACAGCAGCTGGAGCTGTGCCGAGGTCTCCCTGCCATAGAATGAAGCAACGCACTGACCTTTGCAGGCTCTGATTAAAGTCTGGCACCACCCAATAGAACTTTCTGCAGAAGAGGATATGTCCCACGGCTGCCACTGTGCAGAACAGGAGCCGCCAGCCCACGTGGTCATCAAACTGTTAAAAGTGTGGCACTTGAGGTCAGGAGTTTGAGACCAAACTGAGCAAGAGCAAGACCCCCATCTCTACTAAAAATAGAAGAATTAGCCGGGCATGGTGACATGTGCCTGAAGTCCCAGCTACTCAGGAGGCTGAGGCAGGAGGATCGCTGGAGCCCAGGAATTTGAGGTTGCTGTGAGCTAGGATGATGCCACTGTACTCGCCAGGAAAACAGAATGAGACTCTGTCTCAAGAAAAAAAAAAAGGTAAACAAACAAACAAACAAGAAATAAAGAAATACATATGTGCATTCCTTTGTTCCAAAAATAAATAAATAAAAATACAAATGAAGAAACATTGGAAAGAAATCTAAGAAAACCTTCTTGGTTGTGTTAGGGTGTTTGCATTTGGGGGTGCTTTATTTTTTTTTTCTTCCTTCCTGTTGCTCACACTTTGGAGCTGTGATTTTAATAATAATTTCCCAGGCCGCTTCTTTATTGAGGCTCGAAAGTCCTGCCGGAAAAGAAAAATGTTCTAAAACCTGTATTTAAAATGCATGTTAATCTCTGTTAAGGTGACAAATACAAAGAAAGGTGTATCTGAGAGTTTCCCTCCTAGTGGGAAGGAAGGTCACCGCTTTGCTTTTTACCTGCTGCAAGAAGCAGGGTCTACTTCCTCCAGCTCGAGGATGAGCCACTGTCTGCTACTCTCCTGGAGGTTGGGAGTGTTTTCTCATCTGTAAATCTCCCTGGTCCACCAGGCAGCCCCTGAGGCATGAGGCAGCCTGTTCCTGTTTCCCGTGTTGGGAAATCACTACTGCACAAGTGGAAGGTCTTTTTTTCTGGTCGCTTGTTCTTGAGAAAATGACCACACTCTGTCTTTTCCAGCTGTGGCCACCTGTCGCCCTGACGAATTCCAGTGCTCGGACGACGGGACCTGTATCCACGGCAGCCGGCAGTGTGACCGGGAGTTCGACTGCAAGGACATGAGCGATGAACTTGGCTGTATCAACGGTGAGCTCTGGCCGCCTGGTTTCCCACCCACCACTGGCAGCGCCTTGCTGTTTGCAAATGCTCCGCGAAGTCAGAGGGTGCTTCCCAGGGCAGCTCCGCTCCAGCTGTGGGGTCCTTGGGCAATTTCCAAACCTCCCCCCACCCCACTGCTGAGCCTCACTTCTGCTTATCTGAAACATGTGCACGGCCAGGACTGTGAGGTTCCTTAAGGTCGCTGTGTGCAGAGCTGGCGTCTTTGAGCTCGTAGTTGTATGCACAATGCACTTCTTGCAAAGCAGCGACACTCCTGGGCGTGTACGCAGGAGACAGTTGTACCCACGCAGCGGAGACTGGCTTTGAGCCAGTTGCCGTGAGCTAGGCTGACGCCACGGCACTCTAGCGCAGGCAACAGAGCGAGACTCTGTCTCAAAAAAAAAAATCCTGGGCTCAAGTGATCCTCCTGCCTCAGCCCCCGAGTAGCTGGGCCTACAGGAACGAGCCTGAAGTTAATGTCTAGGTTG